GGAAGGGGAGAGAGTGGACATTTCCTCCTCCCTTTCCAAGGCAAAGGAGGAAAGGCGAACAGCACACAAACAACGAAGGGATTGTTCTGTTTCCTCCTTGCCCCTGACCAGGACTGACATCTCATCTGATGATTAAAAATTTATCAAACTGACATCTCAGCCAGGGAGGGAAAGGCCCAGCAGGCCCCCCAAACCCCACTCCCTGGAGCATCGATGGGGCAGGGAACACTAACCAGGTTTATGTGACTGCCTTCTGATTTACTGTGATGCCGATGTGAACTAAAAATCTCTGTAGCCTGTTTCCTCTCTTGGCTTTGCTCTCCAATGTCTGTCAATGACAAAGCATTGGCCTTTTTGCAGGGCTTCAGCTTGCTTGTGGTCTGTCAGCTAGAGCACACCCCCCGCAACAAAAAACAAAAAAAAAGGCATTCCGCAGTCCCTCATGTTGCTGATTTTCTGTTTTACAGGCACCAGCAGCGTTACGTTTGTGATGCTACTTGGTGAAGATCTAAGCACTGAAAATGTCACCTCAGGGGCTTGCCACACTGCTCTGCAAAGAGGGAGACTGGCATCTAGCCCAGGAGGACTTGCCAATAGCCACTGCTTTCTACATGGCTGCCTTCAGCTGCGGTGCCCCCGTGGCAATACAGAAAGTGAAGTCTTTAGACAAAGGGCTCTGGGAGAAAGTGATAGCCACCTTGGAGATGTGGTGCAAAGGCAGCAGTCAGATTCCCAAGATCCGGTGCAACAACTTGGCCTTTGTGTCCCTCGGTGTGGGAATAGCTGCCACCTTTCTCTCTACCCTAAGTCCCAACAATGTGGTGTCCTCCATATATAAACTTGAAGCCTTGCTCAAGCAAGGGCACTCAGAGGAGGTGTTGAATAGATGCAATGCTTTGCTCAAGGCTCGCCCAAAGCAGTCAGTGGAGCTGCTGTTGCTGAGGGCGTTGGCATGGGTGCTGTCAGGGACGCAAGCTAGAAATGGAGTTGTGGACTATGTCCAAGCTTTTGTGATGCATCAGGCGGAGGCAGTAGCCTACGTGCGTACCAAACAAAGGGAACACCTGCCACAGGTCATCCAGGCTTTCCATAATTATCTCTCAGCACGTCAGAAAGAAAGCACAGATAGCAGTGCCTTGGACCAATGGCTGGGCAACTGCTATGACTTCCTCTCTGCAGTGGCACCGGATGATATCTGGGTTTGCAAGACACATGCAGCTTATCTCTTTAAGAAAAGCAAATTCGAGGAGTGTGTGGCAGTTTGTAGCAAGGCCCTCAAGCGTTTGACAGCTGATAAAAACCTCAGAGATGAAGAAGCTTTGGGTCTGCTCTTGGAACGGGCTGCAGCATATTTCTTCTTGGGTGGACGGATGCAGGAAATGATGCAGGATTTAGTGCAAGCCTTCACAGAAACCCCTGCTCAGGCAAAGAAGCACTTTGAGGAGCTTTTCTCATCACATGACACTGAGAGGATAGAAGAACAGGCCAGAACTCTCCTGGAGGTGAAGTTCGCCGCGTACAGGGAGGCTGTGCGTGCTCGGACTGAACTCCGAGGCAATGGTGGTGCTGAACTGCTCCCTCCTGTCATCCAGACAGTCCAGTTCCTCCTTCAGATCTCCCCAGGGTCCAAGCGTGAGCTCAGCGTCCGGCTGGCAGACTGTCAGCTGCTGTGTGGATGCATCAGAAACGCCCTGGATATCTGTGACCTGCTCTTGGCAGCAGAGCAGAAAACTTACTACAACACTCTCCTAGTCTTGCGAGGATTCTGCTTCCTCCACACTCATGACCATCAGCAAGCCCTGAAGGACTTCCAAAAGGTTGTTGAGCATGATTCCCCGCATCCTAACAGTTGCATTAAAGCCTTATGTGGGCGTGGACTTATCCGGATTTCTGGTGGTAGCCGTTACTTGACAGCCCTAGATTATATCACAGCTTGCCAGCTGAAGCTGGAAGAAACTATCTTCACAGTCAAGTCCTACGTGCCGTGGAACCAAAGAGGACTGCTGGTAAAGGTCCTCCAAGAAGAAGGACAAAAGATGCTCCAGAAGAAGAGGTACCCAGGAGACAGTTCAGCCCATGGACAGAAAAAGGAACAGGGCTGATTGGATTCCTAACAAAAAGACAGTGTAGCTTAAGTAATAGGGAGGGTACTTGAGAATAGGACATAGACCCTTTTAAAGCATTCCTAATGGACATAACTGGTTGAAATAAAGCTTCATAGGTGTGTTTATTCCAGGAAAATATTGTTTTGCTGCTATGTCATAATATGATATGATTCCATGTAGCCAAATCAGCTCAGTCTTTCTATGGCAGTTAATCCATGAGATACCAGTTGGCCTAAGACAGGAGTCAGCAAAAGCTATTTTTGTTTGATGATTGTTCAGTATTTATTAATGGAATGAGACAGAGATTTCCGCTTCAGTTGTCTAAATTTCTTCAGATACATGGTGAGCATTTCACACCCAGCACTTGGGATCTGTACTCTAATTTTGTGAATGGTATAAATGAGGCAAAGAAAAATGTGATAACTTGTCCAGTATACCACTGGCAGAGCCAGGGCACAAACACAAGCCTCCTTAGACACAGACTAGTGCTTCTGGAACAAGAAGTTACCTAATAAAACAATTCTCTCTAGTCCATGCTAATTTTAACACACGTTTCTTCAGCAGAAACAACAGATTTATTTTCACTATCTCTGTTACTTGTTACTTTTCCCATTGTGGTATCAGCTGCAACCCCAGTTGCGAATCACTAACTCTTTGTTAGCCTTTCTTTAGAGCCACAGCTGCTTAAGAACATGTTTTTATAGAGAGATGATGATTATGCATTTAAGTAGGAAAGAATTCTGTGATGCTGGATATGGCAAAATATATCATCCATTTTGATACTGGACTGATTCCTGCTCCTTAACTGACAGGTGAGACAATAACGTTCTGTTACTGTCATTAGCATATTTTCTCTAAAGCTGGTCTTTTTTTTTTTCCTTTTTCCTCAGGGATGCCCTTGGGGTTTACCAGCTGGCTTCTCTCTTGTTGGAGTTGGACACTTCTGATGAGGCATCACGGATCCTCTGTGCTGATGCCCTGTACCAAATGGGCTGGGTAGAAGAAGCTCACAAGCTCCTCTTGGTAGCTCTCTCCAAAAATCCGCAAAGAGCTCCCATCCTGTCTAGACTTGCACTTCTGCAGTTGAAGAAAGGTTTCTTGTATGATGGCAACCAGGTAAAGACCAGCTGGCTAGCAGTGAGAGTGAGAGAGTGATCAGTGACAGTATGGTGAAGGTGGCTGACAACCCCTTTGGCTCAATGGAAGATGCATGGTAGAACTCAGGAAGGATTACTTTGAGAGCCAGAGAGTGTTCCAAGGGCTTTGAGTTTTCCAGCACAGTGCCTTGCTTGTCTCCTGCTCCTCAACATTACATGACAACTGCAAGGCTGTGAACATAAGCTGCACTGTGGGGCTGCCTCATCAGCGGATACAAAGTGGGAACCTACCCCATTACACAGCCTATGGTGGGTTTTCCAATGGGGCTACATCCATTCCAGCCTGTGCTTAAAGACATTCCTCAGGAATGGCTGCAAACTTCTAGGCAGAGCTATTTGAGAAAGACAGGAAAAGCTAGGAAAATTTCCTTGATGACTTTCATGAAAAATTAACCTCCCTTCTTGCTGGGCAATTTTAAAATTCAAGCAACTTTCTAAGCAGCCATTTTCAGGGCAGTGTACGGTTTCATCTTCAGGGTCATTCCCTTCTGAATAGCTGTGTCTGATCCTAACTTAATACTGCTTTTTCCAGAATCTTGAATACTGCAGTGTAATTACAAATTACATTGTCATATACAATATGTCATTGTCGTATGCATCTCCAATTTTAAACTAAATAGTATGGTGTTTGAGGAAGTTCCCTGAGCAGCAACACTGAGGACTGTTGGCACAGTGAAACTCAGAGCTCAGATGTGGTTTAGGTAGTTCAACCTCCAGCATAACTTTTATGATCCAAATGTAGGCCTCATAGGTGGCACTTTCTGTCTCTAGCACAGGCCACACAAGGACATTTAGCTAAATACAGCCCATTCATCACATTATGCTTAATGACACTTTTCATCAGAGACTTTAGCTAAGTAGAGCATGACTGGGCATCCTGCCCTGAGTGACAATATTGATGGCTTGGTAATTTTCCCCTAGAGGAGGGAAGGGAGAACAACTACATTTCTTTTACAGAGATACAGCCTTACAGGCCTCTGCAATTCTCATGCCTATATGAGAAAACAGGAAAATTAATAAACAATTGCCTTATCTTAATGTTTCACAAGCTGGCAAGACCCTATCTGTTTGAAGCAGAAAGTCTGTCAGGATTTGAAGATGTGACTCTGAAAATAAAGTGGTGTAGATGTGAAGTGTATTCTCCAGTAAATGCATGCAAAGTTACTGAGTGTTGTTAAGCATCTGCTGCCATCCCGACCTCTCCATCCCCACCAGCTGGTTGGTGGAAATCTCATAATCAAATGTAAACCCTATAACTGCATTCCTCCGTCAAATATTGACCCATCAGGTAGCCAAAAAGTGAAAGTTGAGCAATTAGAGTAAGTGGCTCCGATTTGGTGTGGGTCGAAGGTATAGCATTACAGAACCAGAAACTGCTTTCTTCCTGCAATTTTGAGAGAAACTATTGACATACCGCATTTTAAATCAAGTTACAAAGTTTTCCTTTTGGCACTTGAGGAAGTTATCCTGTCTAATGCATGAACACAGCCTCTGCTATAATCAAGCCTGGAATTTAACAAGGCACGTGTTGTCACTCTAAAAGCACAACATGCAAAATAGCTCACTGAAAATGCCTGGTATCTGTGGGATAGAGCAGCAGCAGTATATACATTTAAAAAACAAATCAGGAACCAGAAGCCTCCAACAAGAATGATACAAAGGGCACTTGGTCTGGCAAAGGCTTAAGAGGCGGAATATCTACTTATTCCTAACGGGAACTTACTCCTGACTTAGACACAAACTGCCAGCTTGAATTTGACTAATTCTTTAACCTCTAGAATTCATTTGATCAAAAATGATGATTTTTTTTTATTATTAATGACAGTCTAGTGTTTACTCGACTGCTTTGTAGCATGAGCTGTCTCAGAGGGAAATATATTCTTGCGAATATAAGTAGAACTTTACCATATATTGCATATATAGGCTAAGAAAAATAATACATTCAATATTGTCTCACTGTAAAAATGGTTTGGGTTCACTGGACAATTTCTGTGAAAAATAAAGAGGCTGCATGTGAAATTGTTAGAAGAAATGAACATAACATTGGAGGAAATTAAAAGATAAAGCCATGAGCCTTCCTGATTACCCTAATCAAGCATGGTGGGGGTGGGGAAAGGACAGAAATTCAAATAACAATCCACAGGTCTCTTTCTTTAGTGACAAATGACTTGTGTTTGAAACCGTGGAGAAGAAGGCAACATGTTGATTTTCCTGCCAAAGATTACAAAACTGAATTACCAGCTTTTGCCATCAGAGGGAACTATTGCATTTTTTAAAATGCCATGATAAATTCTACTAGCCACTAAGAGAAAAGTTTTATTGTCACCACTATACTCACTGTGAAAAATAAAGTTTTTGTATAATTTGCTGCCTTTGTGAGGGTGGGTAATGAATACCCTGACTTAGCAGAGTCCATAAGTTGTCCCTGGAAGCTGGATTTCTACTTGTGGCTTCTGCTACAAATCCTGGATGGAACATAGGCGGGACTGAAAATTTCTCCTCAAAATCTTTTTGTCCCACCTGCTGCCTGTCAGCACCCAGACACTTGTATCTTTTAGGAAAAATAGAGAAAGATATAAGTTGAATGGATGTGTCTGGTGCATCCAGATGACTTTGTTCTTGCCTTTCTGGCTTCTCTGGCTCAGATTTGAATGTTAAGTACGTGCTATGCATGTTTGGTTTAATGGGAGATTTTGAGTCTTTTGATTCTTTTCCTTAGGAAATGTGGTAAAAGCTGCTTAGTGATTAGCAATCTAGTGAATGGAGGCAGGGAGACTGTGTGTCAAGCAAAAATTCTCTTCCAGGAGGACCACAGTTTGTGAATTTGCATCCATACTTTTCTCAGATTCCCAGCAGCAATACTAAAAGAAACTTCACTCGTTTTCCATAAATTCACTGGTTTCAGTTTTATAATCAAAAAGGGTCACTGAAATCCTTCTGTTCTCCAGAAAGTTTTCCTCTTTGGGGCAATTATCCTGTGGTTCAGCTCTCTTTATCAAAGCAATTAACTGCCGGGCTGGAAGAGTTGATCTTGCCCAAAGCAAAGCAGCATAAATATTTCCCCAGAATGTCTTCCACAGCTGCAGAGGTGGTGAGAAAAGATAAGAAGTAATGTTCTCTCATACGTGCTTTTACTCTAGGGCCAGCTGAGGAATTAACTAGAACAGATTCACATTCATATGCATATGAAGCAAAAATTAGTCCAAGGCTGGTTGAAGCCCCAGTGAAGTGTGGGGAAGTACTGGGAAAGAGCATGTTGGTTTCACCTGGCAGCAATGTTTCTGTTTTTAGCAGCTTCTGACTTCATTTGACTTTTCACATCAATTTAACTATCTTCCCTTTTTCTCTCACATTGTTAAGCTGCTAAAGAAGGTGATCAAAACTGGAGATACCTCCTGCCTCCTGCCAATCATGGACATTTTCAAAGATGAAGACCGAAAGCTGATGCAAACTCACTGCCATTTCAGAGCGCTAACCATCTTGAAGAACAAAGAGGAGGATGCTGACATCAAAGAAGCTGTTTCCTACCTTTCCTTTGCCATCATTGCATCAGGTAGGCTTATCAACATTTTGACAGGAGATTTAATTCTTTGGGAGGTCAGATCAATGGGTGGGCAAGCATGTCTGATTCTCATCCATCAGTTCCCCCAATGAGAAGACAGAAATGGTAGACTTTCAAAAGAAGGGGAATAACAGGTTAAAATCTGTTTAGAGTATCAGCCCATCTAGACCCTGAAGTAGTGCAGTTAAGCAGTGGCTGTAATTCTTAATGCCTAATAAGTAGCCTGTGAACTCCTTGAAATGGATTGCCAGGGCTCAGTTTAGTTGTCTGGGGACATCAGCCCCTTTTCTTCGCCTGTTTAGGAGAAGACCAGGCAAGTGATTTTCTTCTGTCGTTTAGCACATGAAATCCTCCTGAGGCACAACTGAGAATAACCTTGAATTGCACTGTTCACATGCTAAAAGTTAAATTCAGGCATAACCCTCCTCTACTAGGTCGCATCAATACAGAGACTGCACAGAGAACCTTAAGCAGAGAACCCACAGCTCCTATGTAATTTAGAAAAGATCATTAATACCCCTAACGCATCTATTTCCAGCTGGTGGTTTGAATTTCCTATATAAACATTTCCCTGTTTCTCCTGCTCCAGAAATGCAGTATGCAGAGTGCACAGGAAATGCAATGCTTTTCTTCCTCATACTTTATACTCTTTTGTTACAATAGAACTGTTACTGAACATAAGACTGCAATTACAGTTCTGTTGTTATAGGTTGCTTCTGAGTAATGGGTCTGGACAAGCTGATCTGTAAGCGTAATTTTTTTCATGAATATGATTACAGGGTTTCTTGTACATACAGCTATGCTGTTGAATAAACCACATGTTTTAATGTTAGCAAAGTTATCTTCTCAGAGACACTAGATCATTCTTCTCCTTTTTATTTGCTATACTTTCCTTCTGTAATGTGGGGAAAAAAGACCCTTTTAAGCTAAGCAGTGCAGTGCAGTGCTGTTCTTTCATGGTAAAGGAAAAGTAGGGTGGCAGGGGGATTTTTCTGTACTTAATGCAGAGAGGCTGGTTTACCAAAGCAACAGGTACATGCTCAGAATACAGGGAAACATCTCAAGGAAATCTTCCAGAATGACTTTCCTTTCTATAAAACTTGATTTTCAGTAAGTAACTCTCATTGGACCCAGGTGAATGAAGTAAGGATTAAAGACTGGTAACGTCAAGAAGAGAAGCCAGGGCTTTTTGGCACTGTTGTTGTCCTGCTACTAGGTTGGACAATTTTTGGAAATTTTCCCAGAAAGTTAATCTTAATCTAGAAGAGGATGAGAACTTCCTCTAAAATACAATATAATTGTTTCTTAAAGAGGCTAAGGCCAAACTGGCGATAAAAGAGAGGGGAATTTGGTCCCCACGAGCAGTTAGTCCTTGAAAGACTGAATGAGGGGTCACTTCACAATGTCATGTAAATGAAAGAAACTCCCCTCGAAGAAAAAGGACACCGTCATCCCATTTGTTTAATGTAACTTTGAGAGGAGGTGCTAGCTGGTAAGTGATTTGAAAAGGCTACTGAAAGACAGCCAGCTTGGGCTGATTTTAAACTTAACGATGTAGAGGTGTAGAAGGTCCATCTGTTCCAGCCTCAGTTTGTTAAATCTGTTAGTCCTGAAAACCTCCCCATCAATTAAATTTGTTTGGTACCTCCTGTTTTGTCATAAATAACCTGCTGTAAATACAGTCATTGCAGCAAACAAGCTGCCCTCTTGTACCAGCACAGCAATGATAGTGTGGTTCCAGTCCAGTGCAAAAGAGTGAATGCATCCAGTTACATGCATCATTATCCCAGCTTTTCCTAAGGAGAGAGATTAGGCTAATTTTGAAACACTGCTGGCATGTTCCAAGTAAAACCATATTTGTGTAGAAATCTGCCTTTTGCTCTAAGCACATATTATGACAGCAGCATTTAGGAGAAGAGAGATTGTTTTATGAAAATGGAAAAGAAAACTGTTAATTGCTTTGAGATGGTTCCATTCCAGCCAGTGCATTCCCGCTTATCAACACTCCACATGCTAGAGCAGATGCTTGTTAAGAAATAGACATTGTCTTCATGGGAGCCAATTGATAGAGCCTCAGAGCCTTAATAACCTTTGGTACAGAAGTTCTGGAGCATATCAGGAGGGAGAAAAGGCTTCAGTTCTGAAAAAGAATTGCTAGGAGCCTGTCTGCTGGCTCTTTTCTGCAGGCTGCTGTGCAAGAGGCTGCATTTGCTCACCTCCCTGTGAAAAAATATTTACAGTGGCAGTGAAGATTGGTCATCCAATATAGGGATGCCACAGTTATTGATTGCAACCCTGAGCAAATTAAGATCCTTATCAAAATCACCTTGAAAGGAAGGGGCGTGTGGATGGCAGAGAGAGATATGCTCTGCATCCAGTGGATGAATGGACCAGACTTTTCATACTCAACTGCATGTGTTTATTCGGGCAGCATTTATTTGAAAGCACAGAAAAAAGAATCTTAACATCACAAATTCTGGTGCATATAAGTGTGGCAGTAAATGAGACAGTCTCATTTGTGCTACTGTCTTAACCAAAACAATATATATCTTCTAACTTCACCTGATCAAAACAGCAAAGTGGCCTTGTACCTCCACCTTTACATATCTTCCCTGTAAAGCTTTCTTTTCTCCTTTGTGCTGCTTTTGCACCAACATACTAGAACCTGCAGGGATTCTTTCTGAACAGTTGGATCCTAAACCAGCTCACATCCTGAAGTAATGGTCATGTCATTGGTAGCTTGTCTCCATTTGTTGCACATTAGTGTTATCTTTGGAGAAAGGTGTGGTGGAGGGATAGGTGTGGAGGTGTGAATACATTCCCTCTTACAGCAGCCTCATCTTACTTTTCCTGCTTTCCAGAGCAGAATCACAATACTCCCTTTTAGAGGTCCCCATAAATATGCATGGAAGACCTTAGGGAACAATAACCAAGGGTGAAACTTTCCAGATCTCCTCAAAAATTCACTAAAGTAGTTTCACGAGAACTGGCAAACATGGAATTCCTCTGTACTGCCAGCCCTCTGAGTCTAGGTATCCCCAAGAAGGCAGAAAAAAATATTACCTGCATTTGAACATTCAGTGCTTAATAATTACAGGCCAGTGCTTTTGCTTTCTTTGGCTGTTCCTGAGGAGATCCTCTCTTGCTGAATCCTTGAGGCAATCAGAAAAGCAGTCATGGCTGTTTGAGGAGAAACAATGTTTATTGACGTGTATTTGTTTTTATTAGAAGCCAGGAAGCTTTTGAGCTTTTTGAGCAATGTGATTTTATGATTTTCATTCTATTACCTTTTCCACTCATTCCATGTTTTATTACAACTTTCTTTTGGCATCTTTAACTAGACTGAAGACTCTTTGAAGTGGGGGCCTGTGTTTTTTGTGTGCCTGGCACAGTGTGGTTCCTGTTCCTGTCTGGAACATTAGAGTTCAGTTGCAGTAGGGCAGTTACAGTTTATAAATCAAATTGCAGCCATACATCTGCTCTCAGCAAAGAGTCTTTACTTTCTTTCTGTAAATCACTGTTAGACTTACTTTTTTTGTGTGTATATAGATATGTACGTACACATCATTTTAGCCATTTCCAGAACTGATTATCTTTCTTTTTATTACTTGCAACAATTTTCACTGATGTAAAAATTCATCCTAGTGGCAAAATATGTGCCCTGACTAGGTTTTTTGCACATATTGTAGCCCAGGCTTTTTTATTTTTCCAGGTTTGCCTGTTCCTTGGTGGCCTATAGAGCAAGTGTAAAGTACACTGGTTTCTGCTGTCAGCCATACATAAGGGAGAAATATGGCTAGATTCATGTCACAGAGAGAATAACCAGGTTCACATTGATGGGTGGGTCTGCTGGCTGTGTAGGAGAGCTTTTAGGCAGATTTTAGTATTAGGCTAGCACAACACCCAAACTGCTTTGTCTCTCTATCTCATTAATGTTTCTGTGGCCTGTATCAAACACATTCAGATGATCCCAACAGGCCATGAAAGATGTTTCACAAGTTAGATGTTGAGATACAGAGAAACTGAGTGCTTGATGTTGAGATACAGAGAAACTGAGTGCTTTTTCTGAGGTTAGGGATTTTTTAGCAAAGCTATACTGAACTCCAGCACTGAGCAGCAATCTGAAACCACAACTCACCATTTCGCTGCAGAATGCCATTGACACATGTACACCACTAGACACTAGAGCAGAGCAAACTTGTCTTTGTAACTTACTCCAGAAAATATTTTCCAAGACTTCAGCAGTGAAAAAGTCATTCTTTGACAGAATTCTGCTAGTCTCGGTAGGGAACTGTCTCTTGGAAACCAACTTGACATAGACTTTTTTTTTTCCTTTCAATAGTACGTGATAGGCATTCTGCTGGCAACAAGAATAAGGGAAACTAGTACTTAAGTATTACTGCACTTCATCAGATATCCTCAAGCAAAGTGGAATTACTCTGTAGTTTCATGTGCATGTTGTAAAAACATTCAACCATGAGGCTGACTTGTCATAGAAAATGTCATCTGCCAGCTTATTCCCATTCCTGCAGCCAATCTCAGAAACGGATCTAGCGCCAAAATAGCTGCATTCCAAGTACGTTTTTTTTTTTGCCTGGAATTGCAGCAAGTCTGTGCAGCCTGGAATTTGAGCATTAGTTACATACTTTCAGAAGCAGAGGTGTGTTACATATCCATTGTATGTGTAACCAGATACCCCACATACTAAACTCAGCATACTATATAAATTCTGTATTCTTTCTTAGGTTAGCATGGTATACAACTGCTTTTGTTTTATTTTGTTTTGGTTTTCTGTCACCTCTTTTGGAAGATAGAGAACTAAGACCTTTGGCCAAAGCAAATCCAAGAGATAAGAAATTCATACAAGAGTTGCCAGTAAAGGAAGGCAGCTGTGGTTAGCAGCTGAGCCAGTCAACTTAGGCAGCAACTTGCAAGGAGATTATTACAATGCAGTGATATGAACCGTATTTCTGGCCCCAATGTGATCAACAGACTTGCAGGTGCTTTGATTCACAAAAGCTAGAGAGAAAAATATACCCCCTCTGAATCCCAAATTATCCCCGGATGCTTCCAGGAGCTAGTCATTTACGACTGGACTTCACACTTACTAAGCAAAGCCATGGAGAGGCAGAGCTTAGACTTTGTCCATGAAATGGCTGCTTATTCTTGCATGGATCAAGCCATACAGCTAAGGATGGGACACTTTATCACTGCACAGCCACATACCTTCAGTGCACAGCTTCTCTTCGTTTTCCATTGCACCAAACCCAGGTTCCAAACAGAGGACTGAAAATGCAAATGGTCAGACTCATTAGAGAGCCACATACTCTTCCGTGTGATTGGCTGCATAGTTTCTTATCTGCATGCAGAACTTTGTGCAATTCAAAATGCTACAGTCTGTCTAAACAGTCAAACTTCTCCAACTGGGACAGTACTGATATGTTTTCCTGATTCCATGTCCCCTGCATTTATTGCAGTTGTAGCATTGACAGCCTTCTCCTCCTCTCCAGTGGAGGCAGGAAGTTAGAAATGGATGCCTTGGGAAAACATCACTGTAGAAATTTTACTTAGGAAATTACCACTTGCCTTCCATATTCTTTTGGCACATCAGCTTAGAATAGAATGAGAATGGAATATTAATACAAATTACACTATTAAAAATATGCATTAACAGCCAATTATGCTTTCAGAGGGAAGATACAGTAGAGCTTAGACATTTGATTGATAAACATCCCAAAGCATAACAATCACGGGGAAACTGAAGAGTAAGTTTACATTTGACTACAGGGTAGATTTTGCTCACCGTGCTCATTTAAAGCCTTGTTTTGGAAGCTCATTGCCTTCCTACAAGCACCAAACATGGCTCAGTGGATGTATGGATGACAGAACAATATTTAGGAATATGACAATGTAAGCAGGAATACAAGGATATGAATGTTGACTGCAGCATTGCAAACTGCAAAAAAATCCAGGGGTCCTTCTAGTCCTGCAGATGCAGATCAGGAGACATATCATCATTCCAAGGACATCCTCCCTAGGATATCCTCTCCAGCACCCCCCTTACCCTCCTTTCAGTCACACTGTGGTTTGTGATTCCTTGCCCTAGCATGTTTACCTCCATCCAGCACATTTCTCTTATTCCACCCTTGCTACAGCTCTGAATAAAATGGTGCTTATTTTTCATCCTTGCAATCACCATTCCATAACATGCAGGTTTACCACATCATTTTCACTTAACTCCTCTGAAACCCTTTGGTGGGGATCAGCAATCTGCACACAGTGGGATTTTACCGCACCTTGTTGTAGAGCAGTAGTACTTGAGACCTTTCAAATAAGGATAGCTACATTTCTCTCCTCTAGGTGGCTATGCAGAAGATTCCCTCCTCATTAGGGCTCGATGTTATGCACGCCTTGGCCAGAAGAAAACTGCTATTTATGATTTTAATGCCATCCTAAAGCAGGACCCTATGAATGTGCAAGCTCTGAGTGGACGAGGATTCATTTACCTTGCTCTGAAGCAGCAGAAGGTATTATCGCTGTATGATTTACTGGAGATTTTTCTAGTTGTATTAAGCAATATTAGCATAAGGTACCATAGACTTGATCACGGGCCCACTGAAATCAAAAGAGTTTCTTACAGAATTTGCTCAGACAATGATGACATTCATGGCATGATATTATGTTAGATGACATGCAGTAAACAAACAAAAAACAAAAGCAAAAAGAAGAGTTTGTTCCAAGGTTTAATGAGTCCTTCTCCGTCATCTGTGGAAAGTTTATATGTGTACAATTAGTGTTACAGTGCACTTTGGAGATTGCAGTTGATCACCTGGAAATCATGTCAGATGTCTGTGTGAGTCATCTGTTTCTAATATGGTTGATAACCTTACACTTTATCTGTATATCACACCAATTCCCCTGCAAATGTGAAATGGCGTAACTCCAACCAAGCGTGTGGATTTGTGCTAGTTTATCCTGGTTGCACTTACTCTTTTGAAGACCAGTTCTGCTGGTGGAAACAATTCTGTTCTGCAACACATGAACAGAACAGATTCATTCTTTTCAAGCTCTTCACTTTTTTCGAAACTAGGTGCTTAGGAGTACAAGATCACAATTTGTTTTCATTTATTTTCCTGAGTATTCCAGGAATACTTTCCTTTGCCAGTTTATTATATGTACAGTTATTTTAGTATTTGCAGAAGATGTCTCAGACACCTGCTCTCTGTGGGCGTTGTCTCATTTTCCTCCCCTGTTTTACTGTGCTTTTACTAATTTTTGGAATGTTTGCTACTGCTGTTTTGCAGTGCTCAGAGTTACCCAGTAGGGAAGCAGTTTATAAATAACCTTGTTGCATCTGAGTAATGATATACTTTCAGAGCTGGTTCCCAAGCCCTATCAGACCACTGGATGGATTGCTCTGCTAGATTTTCTCACAAACAGATAACCATCATTTTTTTAGTGAGTCTAGGGGAATGGCTGGTATTTTGGGAATGGAAGTAGATTATTCTCACATTAGGGTATTGTACTGAAATCCAGACAGTAGCCTTTTCTTCAACTAGCCAGTCCCACCGAGCAAGTAAAATTCATCGTTTTACAAAGTGATAACCCTATCTCAGACTCTCCTTACAGCGCATATCACTATTATTGTAAGTATTATTGTATTATTGTATTGTTTGTTCCAGTGATTGTGATTTTCAATTTAAAGGAAACCCTGGAGGAAATAAGTGCTGCTTAATCTGATCTTTTACTGGAATTAAAGTTTAGAACTGAGGCAGCATGTGCTTAGTTTGATTAGGGCTTGAGATCTGGGAAAGAAAAAGAAAATAAAAGATACTATTAAGATAAGAAAGTTTGAAAAACACATCCTTTGACTTTCAGTACCACTAGCAGCACCTCTTTGAGCTCTGACAGTTCTGATTTTCCACAAGCTAACTGCTCTTTCCATTCAAAGTCCATGAAAAGTCTACTTTCAGTTGCAGCAGGGTGTTTCTTGTGCAGCTTTGTGGCCCGTTAGATGGCTCTTCCTGAACTCTCATTAAAAACCTGCAGTTTTCCAAATGAGCAAACAAGCAAATGCATGTCAAGTGAAATTAGTAAAACTTTACATACAAGCTGGGAAAAAAAGTGACCCAAATGGAGTCAATATCAGCATTCCTTTAAAAATACTATATATAATTAATTCTTGAAATTCAGAGTATGTTCAGTATTTTATAGGTAGAAAAGAAATTTCTCATTTCATATCCTTGCAAAGTGAAAGTCCCAGGTCTGTCCCAGCTGTTTCATAGAGAACAGCTTGCAAAGATGGGCCTAATTTTATTCTCTTGTAGATAGCTCCATAAGCAGATTTCATGTCTGTTTGCACAGCTTTGTAAATGTCCAGGTGAGGAGAAGAATCTCCTATAAGAGAACTTCCCCTACATAGGCTTTGTACACAAAATCTAATTAATTAAACTACTACCTCCATCCCAGATATGTATATATAAATAAATATATATATATAGTTATGCACACACCCACTGTTCCATAATTATGTACCAGAACATTGTAGAGAATTCATAACATTTTAAAACTTGCCTAGCTGAACTGTCTCAATACAAGTCTCAATTTTGATTTATCTCTTAGGACAGACAGTGCCTTCAACAAGGTAGATCCAATTCCAAGAGAAGTCAATGTATGCAATCAGTATAGCAGAGATGGTACTAATCTTCCTGGTACCCTGAGTTCTTACCATTATGGCTTTGTTCCTACTGATAGGAAAGCTATTAGACTCAAGGCAGCTTTGAAACATCTACTCATCCTACATCCATGACTATGAAGGAGAGAAAGAACAAGACCCCAGCAAAAGAAAAGTTGACGCAAAGAATAAATGACTTTACAATTTATTATCTGATAGTAAGTGACAGGTAGAAATAGAAGCCGTATTTCTTAAATCCTGAGTCCTGACTCCCAAGTCCCTTGTAGTCATTTTTAGAAGCAATATTCCCTTAGATGAATAGGCTGAAGGACACAAACAGTGTGTGCTGCCAGATCTAAAGCTCATTGCAAGAGTAGACCAAATAGCCTCTGTTTTCAGAACCTCTGAAATTGATGATGTTTATACATATTGAATTAATTTATAGACAGAGTGAAGCAGGTGCGGAGAATTGTGCCCTCCCAAATCCAACCAAAACGGACAGCTTTGAAGGGGATTTTGAAAATCAACTCTTGTTTATGAAATCATCTCTCTTTATGAAAGTTGAACTGTTTTGATAAGGAAACTGTAATTATTAACTGTCCATTAAATGTAAAATGCTCCAAGTTAGAAGCCCTCAGTGCTGGTCCACTGATAATACTGTGATTGCTTGCCTGCCTGCCTGTTTTCTGAGATAGCAAAAGTATGACAGTAAGGAACAGGCTTTAATTTTACTAGTTGTATTTGCTTGCTTAGTCGTTGATTGAAAATAGAAGGCACTGGTTTCTTTGCTTTTTAAACCAATTCTAAAAGCTGTAATTAGGTGCCATTTTGGGTTTGAAGAAGAAAAAAATTTGAAGGACCCTAAAAATGAGCCACAATGGTCTTGTTTAGTCTAATTAAATTTTTCAGAGAATATTTTTCTAATGGACTGAATGGTAGAGCTAGAACCGAATCCAGTCTAGGAGAAGAATAAGCTCTTTGCTTTATGTTCAACTTGTCTTTCCCTCTCTCTCTCCTGGCTGCTGAGAGGAAGCATGGGAAGACCATTTCAGCTGGACTCTTGCTGAGATCTAGAAGACAAAAGGTCTCTCCTGACTGGAGAGACTTTGTATCTGGGCTCATTGGCCACTTTTCCATAATATTGCATGGTGGTGGTGTATTTACTGTTCAAAATCTAAATAAATAAGGAAGAGCAAAGAATTGTGTGGGAGATTTGCTCTTGGGTTAGAAAGCAAATGAATAAAAGCAAGAAAAGAAACTAAGATGTTCCAAATCTTTTATTTGTGTCCTTGTTAGAGTCCCTCCCATGTAAATATACCACAGCATGCAACATGTGGCTCCCATCTTCCTCAAGGTCAGTTGTTTCTGGGGTCAGTGTGCTTAACTTTCTTCTAACACGCTATTTTGTTTTTCCCTTGAGCACAGAATCCCCTGATGACTGCTGTACTGCAAATCTCTGTCTGGTTATTTTTGTTTCACAGACTTACTTTCTCAAGCATCAAATAGAACTGCTTCTTAAATGTAGACACCAAAACTGAAGGGCACTAAGAAAGACTGTCATTCTCAGCATCTCTATTGCTGCTGTAAGAATTTTGGCAAATGATAATCTGAGGAGTTCAAAGCACTTTGCAAATAGCCATTCAAATCTGTCTTCACACTCTTACATCAGCTTTGCAAATGGAAACCCACAGCATGGGGATAGGGGAGAGCAAAGAGCTTCCAAAGATGTGCAGCTGACCTGTGGGATAGCTGAGAACTGAGAGTATTAGAAAAGAGCAGTTTATCAATACATTGTTATTGTTACCATTTCATCATAGTCTCTTGTTTTTATTTAGGAGGCAGTGCAAGATTTGACCTTGGCGCTGAAGGTGGAGGCAGAAGTGGTGATCCCAGCAATCCTGTCCTTAAAGCATGAAGCCCAAGGGTTGATCACTCAATGGCTTCTTCAGCATGGCAGGACTGTGTTAAATGAGCTTGTTGCTACTAAAGATCTTTCAAAGGAAGAGACTCTTAGGGACCTTCTCATGATTGCAGGAGTACTAATTAAAATTTGCAAGGATGCACAATATCACATCTTCTATATAGATGTTTTGATTGCAAATGGTAAGCTCCCATCCTTTTATACAGTTGATCAGACTAAGTGAATGGGCACAGTTATTGCTGTGGATACCTGGAAGTGCTTTTCAACTTCTATATGCAGGAATCATTCCACCAGCTGCAGAGGTAATGAGATTTCCAGGGTTATAGATGGTAAACGTTTCTTGGCAGCAATAGTGTAAGTGTATTGTTATGTAGCAGTTTTCAAGAGAAGTTTGCAAATGTTTTGGGAAAAGGTGTAAAGTAATTAATACCCCTAGATGTTGACTGAACACTGAAGCTACCTAAATCCTGCTTTAGTAAGTTTTGCTGGTGTCTCTGTCTGCACATGGAATGGGTTATATAGCTTGTACTGGTGTTAACCAACAGGAAGGTATGAAGAGGCCCTTATTCACCTTCAGGAGGCATTTGGCCACTCTCTTGCTGATGAGTTTGCCAATGCAAGACTAGCTGTGCTTCAGCTGAAGAAGAGGAACGTGCCAGTGGCAGCTCACTCATTCAGCGACCTAGCTGAGAAGGATGAAAGGGAGCTGGGGTTTCTCCTGAACTTCCTAGACCCTAAGCAACAGCAGCATCTCTCTCAGGTATGACCCTTTTTGATGCTACATCTGTGGATTTAGTGGGGAAAGAAATGGGAAGCAAGATTATGCTATATGGATGTTCCTTGCCTTGTCTTGAACAGAAGTTTGTGGGAACACCGTTGCTCGGCAGAACGAGGAACAAACTAGCTTCTTCCTCCAACCTTGACTGCAGACAGTCAGAGTAGATAATAGAGAAGAATCCAGGCTTCTTTCATTGCAGTGACTTTGTTTCTGTCTCTAATAATTCATCAATATCCACTTCTTACCACTGAGGAAATTTCTTGCTGGTCTCCCTAGCATGAGACCTGTTTAGACCCAAGGCTAAGATGCAGGCGATGTGAAGGACAGCTACAGATTTAACAAGGTCATTGCTAGTATTATACTCTGCATGAGTTACATGGTGCACATAGCTGACCCCTGGGGAAAGGGAATTCATGTTTTGTTCATTTTCCTGCTGCAATGAAACTTAAGGTTCTGATTCAGTCACATTAAATGCTTCAATCCCTTTATTCTTTTGTGTAACCTTTAGGAATCTAAACATACTCATGTTTTTATAAAATGACTTGTCTTTGAGGTTGGAGAGGTTTGATATTGGTTTTCTTAGTTAAAACACAAAAATGGCACATTGCTCCCGTCCCCGTGAGTGTGGACTTTTCAGTATTTTTTTCAAGTTTCTCCCCAAAATTGCACCGAGCTCTGAAAAACCATGTCCAGTAATAAGCTAGGACAAAGTGAGATTGATGGTGAGCAGTTTTAACATTCACTCAAGCATCTGCAATTCTAATTATCCAGAAGCTCCGTGTTCTGAGAATCAGTTTGCTTCCTTTTATTCAATTTGTAGATTGTGCATGCCCTGGTGAGAAGCTATATTATTATGCTTTCTCCTGGGTTATAAAACAAACAACATGCTGATATACTAAATGCATCTTGAGAGGAGTACTTTGTGTGTATTTTAGCAAAACAGCAGGAGGACATAAGTAAACAAGTATTAATTTACCAGTCCCTAGATAAACCCCATTACAGTGAAAAGAGCCCTTCTCTTCCAGATAATGTAGAAAGTTCAGTCTTCTGGGGAAGAGTTAGGAGATTTTAGAGCCAATTTGCAATGTCTTTGAAGGCCTTAAGGAAATGTCTGTAAATGAAGAAAAAAGTTTTAGAGCTGAGGTTCCCTTGCTGCCACATTTCTCTAACTGTATGGGAATCTCACAGTTAAGGCTCTCTATGCTGCTTCCTGAGAAAACGTAGGAGGAATTTTTATGCTGTCAATAAGAAAAAATTGTAATTTTTGTATAGCTTAAACTGCACAGCTGTTTTAAGAACTCATTGGTGCCACAGATTAGTGAAACCTTTAAAAAAGGGGAGAGGCATTTTATTTCTGTCTTTTGTTAGCAGCTGTGGAAGTGGGTCTGGAATAAAACTCCTTAGTGGTAGCTTATTTAGCCTGAAAAGTTTCTCTGCCACTTGAGAGAACAGGGTTGGCTGGCGTGATTTCAAAACTGGAACTCAATACCAGTGTCGGAAATAAAATAAGACTAATTGTTGTATCTTTGATCTTGGGCTTTTGTGCGACTGAGTAAACATTTGGACTCAAGCACCTTGGGGTCTTTCCACATTCTCTTATCTGCAAAGATTTACTGAGTGTGATTACTTTTATCACTGAGTAGCCCAGAATCACTATTTTTTTTTTGTATATATATTTTGTCACAAAGGGGATAAATATGTACTTTGTTGGGGTGGGGGAGAAATGGGTTAACTCACCTGCATGGTGTCTCAAAGGATTTCCTGTAGCACTTTGTTTTGCCAACAAGATTATTCCAGTTCATGTGTGAAAGGCAGATCTCTAAAAGCAAAAAGGCTTACAGACAGAATTTGTGCCAGAAAATCAAAGATGGCTGTACTGTGCCATGGCTCCTAATTACACTCCTGGGGGGAGGGTATTTTTTATCTCAATTTCAGAAATAAGGAGACTAAAGCCATGAAGAGGTTAGTGGTTTACTCAGTGTCCCAGAGTGTTTCTAGGAGAGCTATAGCTGACTGTCAGCCCTCACTCAGCACTCTACACACAAAAGCACATGTGACACACTGTCACATTGTTTTTAGAGTGCTTGGAGATTAAAGGTATTGTAGAAATATATCATCATTGTCCTGGAGTCTGGTCTGAAAAGCTAAAAATAATTCTACAATGAGCTGCATAGGAAAGGGTGGAGGAAGGAGAGCTCCTTGAGGTACTTTTTATTTTTTCATGAAAAACAAAGTAATAAAATACTCTCATTATTTATAGTCCAAGGGGTCCATGCTAAGGAATCTGTAAAACAACTGGGAGAGCCACATGGGAATAGGAATCTGAAAGATTTATTAAACTGCAAAAGGTCAGAGGAAGGGAGTTTGCTTGTCACTAGTACAGCTTCATCCCTTCAGTTTCCTACGTCAAAGGTTAAATGTATGACTGATTGCCAGCTCCTTGCCCAGCTCCTCAGAGCTGCAGTTTCTGTTGGCTGGTGACATGCCTTAGGTTATCCAGAGCTGCGTCCTGCAGAAATGATCTCAAAAGCTATGTGGGCTGTGTCTGAATTAGGTCTTCAGCCTAAAGTGGTAGAATTCATCGTTCCACATGCCTTCTGTGCAGCAGTTACAGAACTGCCTGTCATGGAAAATAAGAGATTGAAATTTGCCAACTAGAGAATTTAAAATGTTTATTTTGTTGAAATCTGTAAAAGATGTGACTTCACTAGGACATACAGATTAAAGCAAGCTATGACTTCCTTTATAATTGCATAAATACCGCCAGGCATATTTCTTATGCCCTGTGCCTGTGTCCTGAGCATCACCCTATAGGTGCTCAGAGAATACAAAGGCTTTTCTGGTCAAAATAGGGTCTGCAGGTAAAGAAGGGAAGGACTTTTTCCAGACTGTTCTGAAAACATCCTTCCCTCTTTCAAAGCTCTAGGCTTATCATTGCTTCTTCCAGTATTACTGATCCCAGACTAACCCTTGGCTGTAATTCCATGTCCATTAAACTCCTCACTCCTGTTTTCTCTCTAAAGAATTGAACCGTGGTCAATCAGCTTCAACATAAGATTAGTCACTAGGCACCAGAACTAAGAGAGTAACAAAAATGTATGTGTATTTTCAGACCTTTACCACATAGTGAGAAAAGTAGATGGTAGAAAGGGAACACAGAGACCTATCCAGCAAGTGGTCCTATCACTACCTCTTAGCTGTGGCCTGCTAAGGCCCTTCCAGATTTCAGACAAGTATTTCAGAGTCTGGAAACAATAATCAAACCTTTAGCGATGAGTTTGAAGATGGATGTAAGTTTATCTGAGAATGGACTTTTGTAGCCTGCTCTTGGCTTTTTGAAGTCACCTGCAACAAAGCTGATGGTAAAAAAAAAGACTCAGTACTAAGACAGAGACCAGAAGTTGAGCTCAGTAGTGCAAAATCCTTCTGGCTTTCTGGGCACTTCCTCTCCATAGGTCTTTGTTTCATATTTGTCTTTGTTCAGAAGAAGATATGTGAACAAGCTGCTAATTAATCTGTGTCATACACAAAAAAATGGGTACCAGCTCAGTTCCTTTAAATCAGGCAGAGCCAAAAGAGAATCCAACAGCCTGATCACCATGCTTATTCCACCACTGAAAATCAGAATGACAGAATCATTTATTTCTCAGATGCTTCTTTCTCCTGTGAGTGTGGAAGGAAAATGACTTGCTTACATTTGACGTTATCAGAGAAATGTGAAGAAGCCAAAGCTGTATCCTAGCTGGTAATGACTGTCATATGTGATGCAGTGAGCCAACTTGATTCTGGTTTGCACACTACCAGGTTCAGCATAAGATTAGTCACCAGGAGAATAAAAAAATATATATTCGTTTCTCCTGCCGTTGAGAAAACAAATGCACTTAGAGGACTGAAAAAATGCCATTTAACTATACAAATACTATGTGTTTTGAGGAACCACACTGAGCTCTTTAGAACAATGTGATCTAGCATTTTAGAATTTCTAGTAAAAAAAAAAAGGTCTCTTGTCAGGATGCTGCTCACATGAAGATGCAGTTCTGCCTTGATCCCCTGTTAAAATCCTACCACTAAGAAAACCTGTTTTGACTAGTTGCCTGAAAAACACTTGACAGGACAAATTAAATTTGCTACTCTACTAAGTATACTAAATGCCTACGTAATCAGAGAGCCGAGATGTCTGTGGACAGGCTGCCTTACATTTTTATGGCCAGAAGTATTAAAGCTAGTGATTTACATTATTTGAGGTGGACCCCATCTCTGTTTCTAGTGTTGGAAACCTGAGAGTTTGTCTCTAATAAATATGACTGCATGGAGGATTTTATTCTTTTGCATCAAAATAATTGGACTAGAGTTCTTCCTAAACTGTTAGGAATGGCTAAATTATTTCAGGTCACTGGTCTCACATGAGTTGCTCAGATTTGACCTGCAATACTGACCCACTTGGTCCAGAGCCTGTTTTCCTTAGTTCCATTAAACAGCAGTTGGTTTTCATCCAGGTCAACCAAGATACAAAAACAATGCACACAAGCAGAGTGGAAGACGACCTGAGCTGGCTGTTATGTGTGGCCTTTGGAGAGGGCTAAGGGAGTGGCTACTGAGACAGTGGCTGTGCTAACTGAGTTTTAGGTAGCATGAGCATATGAGGGCAATGTGTGATATCCCATGGGATGAGACTGATGAAAAAAATCTATCCTATACTCGAAGTCTCAGCTTGTTTGGCTCAGCCTTTTCAAGACCTAGACTGCTGGTGACAGTCTTGTTTATAACTTAAATGTTCACTCTGCTGCAGCATGTAAAAGCTTCATTTATTTGCAGTAAAGGAAAATAATGAGAAGTCCATTAGAGGCAAATAGTTCTAATGGAGTTTTCTTTATTGACCTTTATGAACCTAAATATGTGGCTCTTTCAGCCTTCTCTATTTCCTTCTTGTTGTTTTTCCCTTCCAGTAAGGGCAGATAGTTCACTTGCTCTCAAGATTAATGCTTAGCAAAGTCATCAGTTGGCTAGATCGTCCTATAGCCTGGGGACACTTTTGGGGAGAGGCCGACCTTCATTATTAGCACATGCAATATTTGTGGGGCAATTCTCCCTTGGGATCTGATCATGTTCATCTCAGGATCAGCTGGTTTTGAACAAGATAGAACACTTCTGCTAGCTAAAGAGAATTGAAAAAAAGGAACCATCAGAATGGGGACCTAATGAGCATTTAATTGTGAATTGCATATGCACAAAGGAAACTAATTAATTTGCTTCTATAGGTGAAAAAGCACAATCCAAATAGCACAGTACAAAACATAATCATGTTTGCATTTTTAAAAGTGATGTCTCAAAAATGCTCTTAGAGATAACTAGTACTCAGTGTTAAGGTTCCATGCTAACCAGCTCTTGCTTACTGCACTGAGAGAGGCTGAGAAGTTTTTTTATAGCCAACACTAAAATGCAGCTGTGATTCTAAGCACACAAGAATTTTTTTATCTTCTATACCCTCACAAGTGACAAAGAAACAGAATTTTTCACTTTCAGTTACAATCCCAGTATCTTATGTTATTATTACATGGAGCTAACTGTATTGACCAGAAGATGCTATTTCCATATAGTTACCTGTTAGAGCAGACCGGGGCAGAGGCTTGCTTTCATGAGATGAACACTATCTACTTGTAGTTTGATCATTCAGTTTTCACTTCACTATCATTTTTAAAGAATGTACAAAACTTAAACTTTTGGCAAAATATGCAGGAGCAAAGGAGAGTCTGGTTCAGAAACTGTCAAGATCAGCAAGTGCCCCTTGGTCCAGAATTTTTGTATCTGCATGCAAAAATTGTGCCAGTTATTCATTCTTCAATTAGATGCAATTTTAACATTTGAAAAAGTATCTAAGACTTAGGTTATTATCTGTGTCTGTAGCCAAGCCAGACTAGATATTTTACTTTTTCTTTCACTTTTAATCACTAATATTAGCTAACTTTCTGTCCATAGGTAGCGGCCCAAAAAGGAAACATGCTGATTAAGGAATATCGCTATGAGAAGGCTCTTGGTTATTATACCCTGGCTATCTTGTCAAGCAAAGATAATCCAAGATATCTCCGACAGAGAGCTGCTTGCCTTGTGCATCTGAAAAAATACGGCAGAGCTTTAAAAGACATGGAGAAAGTGATTCAGAAGCATGGCTGTAACAGCCTTAAAACGCGTGTTGAGGACCACTGCTCAAAAGGACACCTGCTATTATCAGCATCAGAGGAAGAAGCAGCAGTTAAGGAGTATATTGAGGCACTGCAGCTGGAGGAATCTGTGGCACTTTGCAGCATCATGAAAGGCCCTGGTAGGGAAATTTTAGCCAAAGCATTTCATAAGATTGCACAATATTATTTTGAAATGCACCGTTATGAGGAGGCCTGGAAAATCACAGATTATGGTCTCATAGTCGATAAAAACACTACTGAACTTAAGAAGCTGAAAGCAAGACTTAAGCGAGAGGCATCAGGCTGTAGCATACATTAATTTATTTAGTTTTGGCTTTTCCAGTGTCTGATTACTTACTAGTTTGTTTTTGAGGCTGCAAGAATAAGGGAAGGATGAGGAGCTCATGATAAATATGCAGTGGATTATATATCATTGAATATGGCACAGCAAGACCAGAAGTAGAAGGTTTCAGATAGTAAAACAAAACTGACGAAGAGAGCCATGTGAAGAAAACAGGACAAGAATGGCAAACTGCATTATTACAGTATTTTTTTTTAATTATTGTGGATTTACCTAAACTTCTGCTTATGAAATAACTGTTTTGTCTGGCTAATCTAGACTAATTCTAACACATTGATTCCAGTCACAGTGAAGGGAAACATTCAAATAGCTTGCAGTTTATGAATAATAATAACATATCTCCTATTATTTATTTGTTTTCCTTTAATACACACTGCTCAATTAGGTGCCCTTCTTTTTATGAGCTAGGCAAAAAGATCAGTCTGAAGTATTAGGATATAACATTTTAAATGTGTTTTATATGTGCGAAACATCATCAGTGTTACACCACTCGACTATCCCCCTTCTGAGTGTCATAGTCTGTTGGATTTGGAATGCTCAGCACCAATACAGGGGAGTGGTCAGTACAAATGCAAAGCAAACTATTGTTCTGTCCCAAAGAACGTAAGTGATAGGAAGGATGAGATCTGACAGATGAAACATCCAATCTTGTGACTAATACCCTATTATCAGGGATGCACAGGCAGCTATACTTTAGACTTTACCTCTGACTTCCAGATCTCTGTCTCAGTTTGCCAATGAAGATAATGGAAATAATAATTTCTTAATAAGGGTGTCTGCCAGAGCCTGCTAAATATGATCTTTCACATCCCTGGATATTCATGGATGAAAGGCAGCACTGGAGCATGAACTAATCAAGAGGGAATCAATGTACAAGGTAAATGAGTAGGAAATCGGGACTGGATGCAGTAGCCACAACGGTAATGTGATTTCTGTTCAGTGATTCAGCTTCCGTCCTCCACTATCCGTGCTGGGCAGCCCTGACAATCAGCATCTCACGTGCTCTCAGGGCTTTTGCCCGCTGTTACATAAGTAGCTTCCCCACCTGTATGGACAGCCAGACTTAAGGGGCTGCACAAAGACAGTGTTGATATACCCGGTTTCTATACGATTCTGTTTCACCTATGCAGTGGGAGTCTCTAGCTTGATTTGGGAGCAGTAGGCATATGTTCTGCGAAAAGGAAACAATGAATTGGGGCCCAAAACAGCAAGCTTGTATATTTGTTTTGACTGAAGTGGCAGCTCCAAGGGAATTATTCCCAATGTTTTTGGAGTGTGGTAATACAACCATGGAGAAAAATAAAAACTACTATCAAAAATAAAGATTAAAGCAACACTGAAGAATGCTCTCCTACTTTGATTAAGATGAAAGGGAAATGGAACATTTCCTTCTTTGTTATGTTGTTTTCTGAAAGACAGGGTTCCAGAAAGAAACTGCATTCAGCATCTATCTGTGCAATCAACCCAATAGATAATGATCACATCTGTAACCTTACATCTTTTTTTTTCTTCTCCAAATACTTCATTTTTTCTGCCTTAGGAACACAGTTAAAAGTGAGCTTCTTTCCCTTTCAAAGCCAAGAAAAGTTACTATGATTCTAATCCTAGGAACGGTGAAGAGTACTTTTTGCTTCCTGTTGGCACCAAGTTGCTATAGAGCAGTTTCTTTCCAAGCAGGAAATTATATTCTTAAACTAACGTTGGCTACACTTGCAAGCTTGGTAAGAATAGTGATTTTTCTTCAATAGTAATCAACAGGTAGGAATTTTTCCATGTCTTCTGCTGGCCTTTTTTGAGAAGTACTTTTTTAGGGCTTTGGATTCTTTTTGCTTAATTTTTATTTGGGAGTTTTTGACTGACCAGAATAATAAATCTCTTTACAGCTTCATGTCTACGTTACTGTTAGCACTCCTCTTTCAATTACCAGTTTACTTATCTGTTAGCCATGGTGGAGATTAATGACTGCTTCTCTCAGTGGGTCCTAACTATTTTCATCAGCATTTTTATTTCTTTATCTGCTCTGTGTTCTTTCTGTCCCCATTAAACCACTGTGATCAAAACTCTTATCTCTTCCTGTGCCTAAGCTTACGATTTGTTCTTTATTCCTCTGTTATGGGTTTGCTCATCCAACTAATTTACTGGAATATCAGATAGGACTTTTGATTAGTCACAGTCAGAGCGGTTTGATTAGCAGTGTAATTGCATTATGCATGCCCAGCAGAATTTCACGCTTACCACAACCTGTTCTAACACTCATTTTCTGGAATCCTGGGGAGCAAGCAGGATTAACTGTGACCCATTCATGTCAGCTATTGTCCAGCCGATGCACCTAAAGACCAAAAGCATTCCCGTGCCTTCACATTCACATACCTGCACTGCTCTATAACTAGGCTTTGCCAGAAGATATCTTTCAAAAATAACATGCTGCAGTTTGTTGGGAAGAAATCTATCCTGAGTACCCAGCATTTTTAAAAGAAAATTTCCGTCACTGGCTTTAGTTATAACTCTGAGGCTAATTGTGGTCTTTCATTAATGCTAGTGAGGCCATGAAGACTATCCCAGATGTGTTAATGGTACTGCTGCACTTGAGTTTGGCTCTAGCCAGACTGCTGCTCCATTAAACAAGCTATCACAGAAGTCTGTAGAGAGGGCATTGTTCTCATGAGGGAGCTAGTTTTGGCTGTTTTCCTTTCAGGCCAGTTTTCCCCACCAATAATGGTTATGAACCAAAAATCCATCAATATTTATTAACAAACATCTCCCTCCCTCTTCAGGACAATAAATCTCATTCTTATCTGTCATACGATACCCATAGCTGGAACTGGGACCATTTGGCTAAATCACCAATTATTTCATTATATAAATGCCACTTTCTAACAGGAGATTGAAGAATCTTGATAGAAAAACTGCAGTGGTCACTTCTGTATGTTTCTTTTTAAGGATAAGCTGCAATTTATCAAGATTATGGAGCTGTTTCCAACTGCTTTGAGAAGCACAACTCATGATTGAAGATGTTTAGAACAGAAACTCTGTCGTAGCACCTGTTACTTGAAAGTCTCTGGCGTAACAACGCCTTTAGGGCATATTTCTACAACAATGTGATATAAATGCTGGACAACTGTGAAGAATTCAAGTATATTCATATGAGTCAACATTGATTAATCAAGAAGAGAATATGGCCTAGTGAACATATGTAAATAGTGGAACTGGGTACCAATTTACTTTGAAACTAGCCTCAAGCTACATTCAGCCCCAGGAAAGATTAAGTGCCCGTAGTTCATTCAGCTCTGAGCTGTGTGCAGACACTACTAAACATTTGTCTTCTCCTGATTTTTGTTGCTTTAAAGTATTCTGCAACCTCAGCAATGCACTGTTTAGGGTGTAATAATTGCAGTTCATCTGCATGGGGAGGTAGAGAAGCTGAGAAAGCTTGTTGCACATTGTCACCAGGTAATGAATAATGAAAGAAGGCTTTGAAATCATGATTGAGGTTGGCAAGCAATCATTTATGTAGAAACCATCTTGGCTTTATAAAGTACTCAAATTCCTTACAAGGATATAAAAAGAAAAGCAGATGTGAGAATATTTATAGAACAAATAGCAATTACAAAAATAAAGTTTCCTGACCTTATGTTCTGCAGCCCAGCAGGCAAATAACAGTTTAGAAATGATGGCAAATTGGTTGGGATTAAATATTCAGCTGGAAACTTTTTTCAGAACTCATACAGGGTTAAACTTTGAAGTTTTGTTATTTAAAAAGAAGATTTTATTTCCTTTGAACTCATATAACTTCTGTTATTTTTCCCATTTCATTTACTTAGGTGCTCCCAGGTACTGAGAGAATCTAAATACATCAGCCAACTTCAGCTTCTGATCAAATGCATTTTTGAAGTTAACACATTCCCTGGGAAGTCATTTTCCTGACTTTCAGTCTAATCCATTGTGCTTTTCAGATTTAGATCACAGTGGAAATTTGGGTTTGACTTACAGTCATGCTGACCCAGTAACTTCAATGAGTTTCCTAGTGTCTAAGTGAGGATACTCCACTTGACTTGCAGAGGCAGATGTTTCACTTTAATGACAACTAATCTAAAAGCCATTTGTTTTACTGTCATCTCTCTGGGCAAGATTAACTGTGTTATCATTGTACTGCTTCTACATCAAGCAATTTCCAATTTGCCAGGGCTCTAAGGAGTCACTGTCGCCATTAATTTAATGTATTACATGAAATTATCCTTGGCATTGTAGTCTGCCTTTGGAGTCTTGGCTATTTTAATCCCATTTCTGCTGAAGTGGTCTGTGTTGGAATCTGTTGGTTCAGTCCGCCATTACTCAATGACACCTTAAGGAAAATGACTCGTTACTTAGAAGGCACAGCCTTCCAAAGCTGTGAGATTCAGAAGTCTCTTCCTCTCTCCTCCTACTCCTGCTGTGGCTTCCAGAAACAGCTTTTTCATGTTTGTCTGCTCTGTAGGATGCCAATGAATACTACAGATCTGCACTTGCCTCATAGATGTGTACATCCTTGACATCCCAAGCCTGGGACCGGTGATTTATTTTACCACTAGAGTGCTTGGAGGGTAGAAGACAAATGCAGGATGTGGTTATCATCTGTCGCGTTCAGCAGATGAGAAGGGATCAGGAGAGCTGGAGAACAAATTGCCATCCTAAAGGGCAAGGTTAGAGAACATGAGCCAATCCCAAAGTTTCGTCAGCAGAGAGTGGAAGATGCTCAGTTTTACAACGCAAGTCTGCTCTGTGTTCCCTGAGAAGGACTGAGTTTTTGTTTTGCACACAATGCAAGAAAGAATTTAACCTGCCAGCTTAACTGTGTGATTAGGTGTCTTACCTTTAGCACCTTAATAATTGAAAGATCCAGCCGGAAAATTTCTGTATTCATATGCTCCCTGTGTGACTCCAAAAAGTCAACAGTTAGAGAGAATAAACTAATATATTTC